TGGCGGGCCGCTGCCGCCGCCGCGCGCCGCCACTGGCGCTGCCCGAGCTGAGCCTGCGCGTGGCTCGACCCCCACCCCCCACACCACCACCACCCACACACCCCCACCTGCAGGTCGTTTGGCAACGTCAGCAACATCATGATCAAGGCCAACGAGCTGGAGAACTCGACGCAGGTGGGTGGGTGGGGTGTGGCAGGGTGTGTGTGCTAGGGCGGCGTGGTTCGTGTGTGGGTGTGAGTGGTGCGGCAGGTGGGTGGTGTGTGTGTCTGGGAGGGCGGTGTGGCGTGTGTGTTGTGGTGCCACTGCCTGCCCAGGGCCCAGGCCCACGCCCCTTACCAGCACACCCCACCCCCTCCCAGCCCTCGCAAACACACCTCCCAGCCCCCACCAGCACACCCCACCCCTCCCTGCCACTCGCAAGTACTCCACCCCGCCTCACACACCACCACCACCACCACCACCACCACCACCCCACCCCACCTGCCCCCTCCCACCAACACCTCCCGCAGACCTATGTCGACTTCATGTCGCGCTTCACCGGCCGCGACAAGGAGGAGGTCCGCCGCGACGTGGGGCGCAACAGGTGCGTGGAGGGGCGGGCGGCTGGTCCCTGGTGGGGGGGGCGCCGTGCCCCCGGCTGCCGTCGCCGCCGCCGCGCGCGGCTCCCTGCCGCCTGGGCCGAGCCCACCTGGCCACCCGGCACCTCCTGGCGCTTTCTCAGGCCCCAGGGCCCCTCTGCCAGCCCTCTCCATGTGCCGCATGTACTGCATGTACCTCCCTCAGCATATACCGCATGTACTGCCCTGGTACCGCAGGTACTTCACCCCCGACCAGGCCGTGGAGTATGGCATCATCGATAAGGTCATGCAGCCCAGCGACGCGGTGGTGGTGAGCGCAATGGCTGCTGCCCGCCTGCCTGCTGGTGCTGCCGCCTGGGCCCCCCCCCCCTGCTGCCACTGCCTGCTGCTGCTCCGTCCCGTCCCTCCTGCCACCGCCTGCTGCTGCTGTGTCCCGTCCCTCCTGCTCCCATCGCTGGGGGCTGCGCCAGCGCCTGGCTCCCTGCTCTGCTGCCGCTGCCGCCGCCGGCGCGCCCCGCCCTGCCGGCCTGCCTCCCGGCCGCCCTCGTCGCCCTGGCCGTTCCACGGCCCACCGCTTGCTGCTCCTGGTCCCCTGCCTGGCCCCGCAGATTGAGCGGCGGGACTATGAGGGTATGCTCCGCTCCAGCCAGGCCCAGAGCCGCCCGCGCAGCAGCGGCGCCATGGCCGGCGCCGACGCCTGAAAGCCGCGCGGTGCCCTCTCCCCTTGCGGCGCCCCCAGCACCGCTGCCACTGGTCTGGGCCGCTGCGGCCTGGCGGGCCAGACCGGCCCCGGCGGCGCCTGCTCTCTCTGGCCAGGTGGCGTGCGTGTCGGTTCGGCGCCGCGCCGATGCACCGGCGCACCTCTCAGTAGAGCTCCCTCCGTCTGCAGGCTGTTTTCTCCTTGCAGCCAGGGAGTCCCGCGCCTGAGCTCTGCTTCCCCTCCCTCTTCTGTCTCCGCCTCCCTTGTTGCCTGTCTCCGCCCATCGCACTCCAGTGCCGCATCCCCCTGCTGGGAAGCGTTGGCTGCAGCAGGCACTGCGCCGCCTGCAACGGCTGACGCTCGTTCATTGTAATTCTAGCACCAGTTGTGCAGTCCATCGCTGTTGAGAGAACGGCTCGGCCGGCGACGGCGCCCCGCCAAGGCGCGCCTCGCTGGCGACGCCCATAAATTTGAAAGATTTTGGTCGGTACAGCGTTTTGCCGCAGCCGTCCTCTCTTTGATGTCGATAGGCCACTTCTGGGGCCCCAAACCGACAGCCTTCAGGAGCGTGATCTGTTTCAAAACTGATTTCAAGAACTCCTCAGCTCCCGCAGCTAACAGCTCCCGCTTGCATTCATCAATGCTTCCGCGAAGCCGCCGCCAGGCCCAGCAGCAGCTGCAGGGCCAGCACGCTCCCGCCACGATCGGCTCGCTGAGCGACGACCTGCTGGCCAAATGCTTCGCCCTGATCGGGCAGAAGGACCTGTGAGTGCGCATGGGCGGCTTCGCAGAGCCCCACAGCGTGGCCCGCCCCTGCCGCTGCCGCCAACGCGCTGCCGTTCGCTGCTGCTCACCGGGCTTGTGACCATGCTTGCAGGCTGTCCAGGGCGGCGCTGGTGTGCCGCCGCTGGCGTGCGGTCAGCGCCAGGACTGAGCTGCTGCGGGAGGTGGCGTTCTATGGCAGTGCCAGTGAGGGATCCGCCACGGTACAGCGCGCCCCCTCGCTGCTGCTGTGGATGCAGCGGCACGGCCAGGGCGTGCGCAGCCTTGACCTGGGCCTCGGAATCCGTGACACGCGCGGCACTGATGAGGAGATGGAGGTCGTGTCCCTGCTAGACGGCTGTATCACCGTCTGTGCCGGCAGCCTGGAGCGCCTGACGCTGTGCCTATTCGGCCACAGCTACACGCTTGGGGCCTGGACAGCCATAGCGCATCGCCTGGAAGAGCTGACGCTCGACATGGAGATCTGCACGGTCTGGGCCACCCTGGAGCACCTGACCTCCCTGCAGCGCCTGCATCTCGACGCTGTGGAGTGGCAGCTGGGCACCACCATGGCCCTGCCCGCCTCGCTCACCCGCCTGTGCATCTCAAACCACGACGCAGAGGAGCCGCCCTCCCAATGGCAGGTGACAGGGGGGGGCACTGTGTTTGAAGGTGTATGCTGGTCAGGCCACCTGCGGCAGGGTTGCTGGCATCAACACAAGCTTGCAGGCACCCATCCTTCCACGCTTTGGCGTCGCCGCTGGGTTTTGAATGTTGCGTTAATTGCTGACTAGCAAGCTGACCCCTTGCTTGCAGGTGGCCACTCTCGCCAACTTGCGCAGCCTCCAGTTTTCCAGGGTTGGCTACCACTCAGCCAGCATGACCTCCCTGCGCCAGCTCACCTCGCTGCGCCACGCAGCATTTTCGCATTGCCACCTGCCAGACAGCCTGTCGGAGCTGACTCAGCTGGAGGTGCTGGAGGTTCGCAGTCCCGAGGGCCCAGCCGATGCTGTGGCATCCAGCCTGGGCGGTGCGCTGCAGCATTTGACACAGCTGACGGGGCTGTGGCTTGACGACATGCCCGCAGCGGCCGTGGGCCTGGCATCGTTGGCGCCGCTGGGCCGCCTGCAGTGGCTGTACCTGGGGCTGCGGGACCCAGCAGATGAAGCAGAGGCTGCTCTGCTGCGTGGCTCAGCACTGCCGCTGGGCCCCTGGCAGCGCAGCCTGCGGCGCCTGGCCACATCCTTTCAGCTTGCGCAGCAGAGCCTGCCGTTTTTGGCTGGAGCGGAGCAGCTGGAGCACCTCGCTTTCTTCCAGCCTCCAGCAAGGCAGCACGGCAGATCAGCAGAGTGGCGCGCCTTCTGGCAGTGGGCGGGAGAGCATGCGCCCCATCCAGTCACTACCCCTGCACCTGTGAATGGTTCCCGTCCTTGCACAGAGAGACAGAGAGCGTTCTGGGTCCATAGCTCTGCCAGCCGGGCTCCTTGCAGGATGTGGCTGCTCTGCAGCCACCAGCGCTGCATTCGTCGGCGGTGCACCCAGCGCCTGCGCCCGCCACGCTGGCAAGATCTCTACCTAGTCGGGACTGTAGACCCCGGCACCCGTTTTCCGAGCCGCGCAAGCTGCATCACGGCATCTGCAGCCGCGTTAATGCCTCCCCACGCCCGCCAGGCCCAAGGCCAGGAGCCCGCGGCCGCCACGATCGGCTCGCTGAGCGACGACCTGCTGGCCGCGTGCTTCTCTTTGCTGGAGCAGGCGGATCTGTGAGTGCGCATGGACCGCCCGCGCCTGGCTGCGGCAGGCTGGGAGACTGGACAAGCCTGCCCCGGGGAGGCGGCGGCGGCGGCCAACACCTGGCGCCGCCCACTCCCGCCACCCCATCACAACCCTGTCTGCACCTGCAGGCTCTCCAGGGCGGCCCTGGTGTGCCGCCGCTGGCGTGCGGTCAGCAGCATGCCAGAACTGGTGCAATGCGTGAGGGTTCGCAGTTGCAATGCCGCCCTACCCGCTTCCCAGTCGCTGCTGCGGTGGATGCAGCGGCACGGCCACGCGGTGCGCAGCCTTGACATAGAAAAAAAGACTACTTTCCGGCCCGGCGACGAAGCGGAGTTCACGTCTTTGCTGCACGGCTGTCTAAGCATGTGTGCAACCAGCCTGGAACAGCTGACTGTCTTCTTTGGTTTGCCTGAGCCGAACTACACCCTGGGCAGCTGGGCGGCGGCAGTGCACTGCCTGGAAGATCTCAAGCTCTCAAGCTTCGTCACCTTCACGGCTTGGATCTCCCTTGAAGGCCTGACCTCCCTGCAGCGCCTGCATCTGGAAGCACAGCAGTGGCAGCTGGGCGCCGCCGTCGCGCTGCCTGCCTCGCTCACCCACCTCCATATAGAAGGCCACCAGGCAGAAGAGATGCCCGCCCAGGCGAGAGGGAGGGGCAGCAAGGGGCAGTGTGTGAACAGAAAAATGGCTGCCAGCTGCTTTGCGGCCACCGGGCTTGAGTGGCATCGACTCGGCCCTGCTGACACCTCTTTGCTTTACCGCCCCCACCTTTCCTGCAGGTGGCCTCCCTCACCAACCTGCGCAGCCTTACGCTGGATTTTGTTCAGTACAGCGCAGCCAGCATGGCCAGCCTGACACGGTTCACCTCACTGCGCCGTGCAACTTTTGAACTGTGTGCGCTGCCCGGCAGCCTGTCAGAGCTGACGGGGCTGCAGGTGCTGGACATCAACTGCCCAAAGGAGGCTGCCGTTGCCAGCCTGGCCGCAGCCCTGCCCCGGCTCACCCAGCTGACGGGGCTGCGGCTGGAGGGGCTGCCAGCAGCGGCCACGGCCTCGGCATCCATTGCCGCCCTGACCCGCCTGCACTGGATCTATTTGTGGCCCATGACCGCCTTACGACGCGAAGCGGCTGTAGCAGAGGATGCACTGCCGCTGGGGCCCTGGCAGCGCAGCCTGCGGCACCTGATGACAACATTTCTGCTGGCGCAGCGCAACCTGCGCTTCCTGAGCGGCGCAGAGCAGCTGCAGCGCCTCAGCTTCCTGCAGCCGCCAGCCCCCCCGGCTGGTGCCGAGGCACAGTGGCACGCCTTCTGGCGCTGGGCGGAGAAGCATCCGCCCCTGCAGTCTATTGGCTTTGAGGCAGAGGAAGCGGTTGATACGCCCCTGGTGGAGGCAATGCTGCAGCTGCAGGCCCGGCGCCCAGCGCTGCTCATTGACACCCGGCTCGAGGTGCACTCCCTTTGCAGGGAGCACTATTCCGATGTGTCTTCAGATTGAGCTGGATGAGAGTTTTGTTCTTCCCCTGTGTTGTTGGTTTTTGCCCCGCCCTGCACTGCCGATTGTGTCCCAACTCCAGCTTTACCAACACATGTGAACGTTACTCGACCCCTTTACCAGAACTACTGCTAGGTACCGCCAGGGCAGTGCTGCCCCAGCTGCACCGCCCTGGCGGCAGGCCTCCCAACTGGTGCTCTGCGTGTGGCGCTGCTGAGGGCGGCTGGTTGGGTTTACGGACGCTGTCGCCACCCAGGGAGGGCAATAGCCCCCTCCACCGTACAGCCGACCAGCATGATGCCAACTCCATTGGCTCGGGACTCGGCAGCGCAGTGCGGCTCCGTGGGCGCGGCCAGAACCGAAGTGCAGAGTTGCCTGTGTTGGCACCTCAGGTCGCACGTGCAGCTCAAATCATTACTATTGGGCTCCTTGCAGGATGTGGCTGCTCTGCAGCCACCACGGCCACTGTCGCCGGCGGTGCACCCAGCGCCTGCGCCCGCCCCGCTGGCAGGGGGGTGCCTGGCTCCTGCATTGCAAGCCCCGCAACCTGCATCACGGCATCTTCGGCCGCGTTCCAATGCCTCCCCGCGCCTCCCACCAGGGCCAGGGCCAGCAGCCCGCCGTCGCTCGCTCAGCGACGACCTGCTGGCCAAGTGCTTCTCCCCGCTGGACCAAGAGGAGTTGTGAGTTGGGGTTGGACAGCCCGCGCCTGGTTGCGGCGGTTCTGGAGGCTCGACAAGCCTGCCCCTCCCCTGCCGTCACCCGCTCCCGACACCCCCAACCCTGTCTGCACCTGCAGGCTCTCCAGGGCGGCACTGGTGAGCCGCCGCTGGCGTGCGGTCAGCACCAGGCCAGAGCTCGTGCGGAGCGTGAAGTTCTTGGGCAGCGAATGCGGCGACGGCGCCGCCGCCGTGCGGGCTGCCCACTCGCTGCTGCGTTGGATGCAGCGGCACGGGCAGGCGGTGCGCAGCCTTGACCTGGGCCTGGAGGTATATGTCGAGCTCAGCGCTGTTGTGCAGAACGAAATGGTATCCCTGCTGGACGGCTGTGTCAGCGTCTGTGCCGGCAGCCTGGAGTGCCTGGAGCTGCACCTAAGCGACTTCAACCACATGCTTGGGTCCTGGGTGGCGGCTGCACACCGCCTGGAGGATCTGAGGCTCTCAGGGCTGGCCTGCATGACAGCCTGGGCCACCCTGGAGCACATGGCCTCGCTGCAGCGCCTGGATCTGTGGGCAGGGGAGTGGCAGCTGGGCACCGCCGTGGCGCTGCCCGCCTCGCTCACCCGCCTCAGCATAGATCTCCACCAGGCAGAAGAGATGCCCGCCCAAGTGAGAGTCAGGGCAGCAAGGAGCAGTGTGTGAACATATAAATGCCAGCCAGCTGCGTTGCGGCTACCGGGCTTGAGTGGCATCGACTCGGCCCTGCTGACACCTCTTTGCTTTACCGCCCCCACCTTTCCTGCAGGTGGCCGCCCTCACCAACCTGCGCAGCCTTACGCTGGATTTTGTTCAGTACAGCGCAGCCAGCATGGCCAGCCTGCGGCACCTGACCTCGCTCCAGCACGCATCTTTCGAGTACTGTGAGCTGCCAGACAGCCTGTCGGAGCTGACTCAGCTGGAGGTGCTGAAAGTTGTCAACCCCCGTGGCGAGGCCTCCGCTGTGGCTGCCAGCCTGGACGGCGCCCTGCGGCGCCTCACTCAGCTGACGGGGCTGTGGCTGGACGGCATGCCCGCAGCGGCCGTGGGCCTGGCATTGTTGGCGCCGCTGGCCCACCTGCAGTGGCTGTACCTGCAGTCTCGGAACACACCGCAAGGGTAGGCGGCTGCAGCAGAGGCTGCGCTGCCGCTGGGCCCCTGGCAGCGCAGCCTGCGGCACCTGGCGACAACATTTCCGCTGGCGCAGCAGAGCCTGCTGTTCCTGAGCGGCGCAGACCGCCTGCAGCGCCTCAGCTTCCTGGACATCCCGAGCCAGACATGGCATGGTGATCGGGCGACGTGGCACACAGACCATGCCCCTTTGCAGCGCCTCGAGTTCGATAGCGGCTCGACGATCCCCACGGACTTGGCAGAGGCATTGTTGCAGCTCAAGGACCGGCGCCCAGCGCTGCGCATCATTAGGCTCCGTTCGTATTCCTTGCGACAGGAACTGCTTTCCAAGTGGGAGTGGTAAAGTGCACGCAAGGACGCGGTTTGCTCGCCCTGCAAGAATTGATTGTTGTTCATCAAAATCTAGTACCAGACCATGTGCTTGTAATTCGTATCAATTCTCAGCGGGGAGGATAGTTTGTGGGGCCTGGCCTGCTTCGAATCAATGAATATTGACTATTGTCTCCGTGCGGCGCGCGCTAGCGGCGCTGCGCGCCAGGTGGCGCGGCAGTCTGGGGCTGCTAGCAGAACCACCCGATCGCCACCTGATCACATCAGCCACCTGCATTTGGCAGCTGGCCAAGGGCTTGCGTGGGCCGGCAAGCAGGCATCCCTCGTCCATCTCTGGTCCATTGCTTGCTGCAGCTCTGTACACAGCACATATGTATGCGTAGTCAGGTGGTGGAATAGCGGGACCTTCCCCCGAGCGCCATGGTCAAGCTGTGCTGCCACTGCGGGCAGCAGCGCGCGGTGCTGCGCCGCCCCAAGACCTTTGAGCAGCTCTGCCGCGAGTGTTTCTACGCGGCACTAGAGGAGGAGGTGCACCAGACCATCGTGGGCGCGCGGCTGTTCCGCCCGGGCGAGCGCGTGGCGGTCGCCGCCAGCGGCGGCAAGGACAGCACTGTGCTGGCACATATGATGACTACGCTCAACCAGCGCCACGGGTGGGCTCAGGGGAAATCATCCTGCGCGTCCGGGCACGGCGGCTGGCGACCGCCGGAGGGCCGCTTAAGAGGGAGGCTGCCCGGCGGCTCGGCTGCCCGCGCCGCCGCTCCCCACGGCGCCCGCCTCCCGCTGTGGCCGCCCTCGTGCGTGGGCGCACTCACAGCACCCGTCCTGCCCGCAGGTACGGCCTGGACCTGTTCCTGCTGTCCATAGACGAGGGTATCAGCGGGTACCGTGACGACAGCCTGGACACAGTGAAGCGAAACGAGGCGCAGTACCAGGTGGGTGCCAGGTGTCTGCGGTACACGTGTACCAAGTGCACTTGCAGCACCCTGCCGGCTCAGCGTGCTGCTGGGCGGCTGCGCGGGGACCGCGGGTCGCCGCCGCGTGGCTGGGCAGCTGGCTGGGGTACCCTGCCACCGGGATCCTCGCCTCCTGCTTGGATCACCTCTGCACTCCAGCCTGGTGCCTCCTGCATGGATCACCTCTGCACTCCAGCCTGGTGCACACAAGGGTGTGCACGCGCATCTCCACTGGATGCATTCCCGTGGGCACCCTCATTCCAATGCGGCATGCTCCACATGCACCGTTCACTGCCCCGCGCTCCCCTTCCCCCACCCACCCGCCCGCAGATCCCGCTGCACGTCTTTTCCTACAAGGACCTGTACGGCTGGACCATGGACGAAATCGTGCGGGAGATCGGCACCCGCTCCAACTGCACCTTCTGCGGGGTCTTCCGGCGCCAGGTGCGGCTGCCGGGGGGTGCGGGGGTGTGGGCGCGCCTCGTGGGGGCGCGCAGCTGGGACCAGTACGCAATGTGGTACCGCTGATAGGTTACTGCTGCCGCTAGGTGCCCAGGGTATGGGGCTGCACGTGAGGACTGCGGATGCGGGAGCAGGTGCCGCCGCGCAGGCCCACGCTTGCCGACGCCGCTGCTGCTGCCGCCGCTGCCGCTGCCTGCCCACCTCTCGCCGCCCCTCCCTCCCTCGCCTGCCCTCCCTCGCCTGCAGGCGCTGGACAGGGGGGCGGCATTGGTGGGTGCCCACAAGATTGCCACGGGGCACAACGCCGACGACGTGGCGGAGACGGTGCTCCTCAACATCATCCGAGGGGATGTGCCGCGGTGGGTGGGCCGGTGCCTGGGCTGGGCTGTGTGTGGTTGTGTGGCCGGTGCATGTGCAGGGCCGCATGGCCTTTCATTCTGCTGGCGTGTTGCGTGTACAGCCTGCCGATCCGCAACCAGACTTGCAACACAGACGCCTCGCTTGACCTCTGGGGGCAGCGGTGTGGTGTGGTGGGTGGGTGGGCAGGCGGGCGCCCGCCTGGCACGCGCGCATGTCAGCGGCGGCGGGCTGGGTGCCGTCGCCGGCGTGTGGCAGCGGCAGCCAGCCGCGCATGTCGCCAGGCCTGGCGTGACGGCGCCTCCTGCTCCTCTCCTGCGCCTCACTCCTTGCGCCGCAGGCTGGGGCGGTGCGCCAACATCATTACAGGAGAGGACTCATCGCTGCCGCGGGTCAAGCCCTTCAAGGTGCGCCCGCGGCTGGCTGTGAGGTTTCGTGCTGTTGTTGCCCCTGTGGGTGTGGGTGTGGGTGCGGTGAGGGTGGATGTGTCGCACTGTGAGCGGAGACCCGCGGGATGGAGAGCCGCGCAGCTCTTGGCATCAGCGGCGCCCGCCTGCCCGCCCGCCGCTGAACAAGTGGCCCCTGTCCTGCCCGCCCCTTGCACCGCCCGGCCCATGCGCCGCAATCCTGCGCCGCCTCCCATGTACCGCCCCATGTACCGCCCATGTACCGCCTGCAGTACACGTACGAGAAGGAGATAGTCATGTACGCCTACTTCAAGCGCCTAGACTACTTCTCCACAGGTGGGTGGCAGCTGGCAATGGTAGCTGTGCATGGTGGAGCTGCCGCTGGGGAAAAGGCTGATTGGGGGCCGCCACGCCGCTTTGGCCCCACCAGGACCGCCTTCCGCGCGCACCCACACACCCACACACCCACACACTCCTGCAGAGTGCATCTATGCGCCGTATGCGGCCCGCGGCTTTGCCCGAGAGTTTGTGAAGGACCTCGAGGTGGGTGGTGCGCCCGCTGTGTCCGCTGTGCCCGCTGTGCCCGCTGCCGTGCATGCTACGCCTGCTGCCATGCCCGCCATATCTGCCGTGCCAGCCGGCTGCGGGCTGTGGGGCTTGCAGCTGCTGTGGTCAGGTTCGTGATTCCCTCCCTTTCCTCCCCTCCCATGCAGGCGGCCCGCCCCTCAGCCATCGTGGACCTCATCCGCTCGGCAGAGCGCTTCCGGGTGCCGGGCGCCAGCGGCAGCGGTACCGGCGGTACCGGCGGCAAGGGGACTGCGCTGCCGCAGCCGGGCAGCTGCCAGCGGTGCGGCTACATCTCGAGCCAGGTGGGCTGGTAGGATGCTTGGTGTGGTGGCGGGCAGGTTTTATGAGCTGGCGGGCGGGCTGGCTGTGCTGGTGGCTGGTGGGGCTGGTGGGCGCCTGCTGTGCCCGGCTGCCTGCCCTCTTCCCCTACCTTCCCCGCCACCGGGGATCGGCACGCACAGCCAGACGTGTCCTCGCCTTTGCCTTGCCTGCAACCCCGGCCTGTCTCCTGATACCCCGGCCTGTCAGTGCCCTCACGCTCCCTCCCTCGACTCCGCTCTGCTCCACCCTGCCCCTGCCCTGACCCTGACCTTGTCCCCTCGCCTGCAGCCTGTGTGCAAGGCATGCATGCTCCTAGAGGGTCTCAACAAGGGGTTGCCCCGCCTGGGGGTTAGCCGCACCAAGCGCGCGCCCAAGGCCGCCCCGGAGGCAGCAGCGGCCAGCAGCGGAGGGGGAGGAGGCGACGGCGGCGCAGGTGCCTGCGCCAGCACCCAGTGCGCGGCTGGGTGCAGCTGCCAGCAGCAGCGGCAGGCTGGCGCGGCGGCCGACCAGCCCGGCGGCGGCGGCAGCGGCAGCGCAGCAGCAGCCTGCTGTGGCGGCGGCGGCTGTGGCGGGAGCGCCAGCACGCGGGGTGCAGCGGCACCAGCAGCGGCAGCAGGCGAAGCGGCGGCAGCGCTAGAAGACGCGCCCCTAGCAGCGGCATTGGCGTCGGCGGCAGGGGCGGCAGGCATCAGGGAAGCGGCAGAGGCAGGGGGCGGGCACGCCTACCTGCAAAACAAGTCCAGCATCGAGTCCCACCCCTCGGCAAGGCAGCTGGCCCAGTGACGCTGTTTTCGTGGGCCGATCAGCTGCTCAGCATCTGTCGCTGCTGGGCACGCTGCGCTTCCGCAGACCACGGCAGCTCCCCTCGCTTCCCGCTTTGGCCGACTGCGCCGTGTCTCGTTGAACAAATGCAATAAGCTAGCGAGATCAGGGCTGCGAGGCATATCCACTTTTGCTTGGCCTGCAAGAGAGCCCCGCTCTCAGGCCTGCATTTCACCTGGGACGGCCTGCATCGCCCTCCGATCGGTATTTGAATCGAACAAGGCAGAATGGCGCAGCCTATGAGCGCGCCCACCCCCAGCGCTGCGACGGGCAGGCCCACCTCGATCGCGCCGGCCCCTCGGAAGCTCTTTACCCTCCATCCGGCGATCAGAGCGGCACCCACCCCGGGGCTGCAGCGCCGCAGGCGCCCGGCACCCCCCGCCGCTGCCGCCGCCGCCGAGCCAGCGCCGGCCGACCTGGCCCCGGCGGCTGCACCCGCGCCCCACCCCGCCCGCCAGCCCCTGCCGGGGCGCGTGCCCTGGCACGAGGCGGGCCAGGGGTTGGAGCTGTACGCCGATGGTAGCGCCAGCTTCAGGGCATGGGGGCCCCATGCCTCGGCGATGGTACTGGAGCTTGTGCCTGCCGGCCAGTTCATCCCCACCCCCGCTGCCGCCGCCGCGCCGCAGCCGGCAGGCGGCGAGGGCCAGGCGCCGGCGCTTAAGGCCGTGCCGGAAGCAGTGCAGACGGCGGTGAAGGAGGTGCAGCTGAGCCGACACGGCGACGACTGGGGCGCAGACCTGGTGAGAGGGTTGCCTGCCTGGCCGGCTGGCTGGGTTGGCTTGGTTGGCTGGCTGGCCGCAGCCTGCTGGTGCTGCCTGGCAGTGCTGCGCTGCCGGCGACGCTCCGTGCCGCCGCCCGGCAGCCCCATGCCTGTCGTCGGCCCGCATTCTCAGCCAGCAAGCCCACACCCATGTGAAGGTAGCGGTGCGTCGCCTTACAAAAGACTAACCGCAGCTGGCATCGCCTGTTCTCCCCTGCCCCTCCCTGCTGCAGCCCCCCGGCCTGGCCCCCCACGGCACCGCCTACCGCCTGGTGCTGACCGGTCCCGGCGGCTCCCGCCTGGTGCGGCGCGACCCCTGGGCCCGCTCTGCGGAGCACACAACCTCTTGGTGCTTTGTGCACAGCGCCGACGCCTACCAGTGGCGCCACCCGGACTGGCAGCCGCTCAGCTTCGACAAGGTGGGGGCGGCGGGGCAGCGGGGGTGGGGGGGCGGCGGCGGTGTGCGGCTGCGTGCATGGTGCATGTGGTGGCCGGCAGCATGCCTGAGAGCGAGGCCAGTGCCCTCAGGGCTTCACACGCACACCAGCCCCCAAACCACGGCCTCATCCCACCTTGCATCCACCCTGTGCTGCCATCATTGCGTACCGCCCCTGCCACCTGGTGCCGCCCTCAACCCGTACCATACCATCCCGTACCGCCCCTGGTACCGCCCCTGGTACCGCCCCTGGCACCGCAGTACATCATCTACGAGATGCACGTCGGCTCCTTCACGCCGGAGGGCACGCTGGCGGCTGCCGCCGCCCGCCTGCCTCACGTGGCCGCCCTGGGCTTCACCCTCATCGAGCTGATGCCGTGCCAGGAGCACTCCGACCCGTGGGTGGGTGGAAAGCAGGGGAAACGAAAGAAAGATTGAATGACAGGGAGACATGCGGGCATGGTGGCAGGAGGATGGAGCGACGCCTGCCTGCCTGCAACCCTTTGAGCCGGCTTCCTGCCACCGCTGAGCCGCGCCGCGGGCGCCGCCCCGCCGCCGCCCGCAGGGCTACAACCCGCGTCAGCTGCTGGCGCTGCACCGTCCGATGGGCACGCCAGAGGTGGGGGGCGGGCCGCACTTGGGCAGGAGCTTTGCATGCCAGTGTCAGAGCTGGGAGCTGGGGTGGTTACGGCTTGGCAGCTCCGCTCCAGCCCAGCCCTGCCCCCGCATCTCCTGCCTCCCTACATCACCCAGCACACCCAAAACTAAACAACCCTGCTGGCCCCATCCCCCGCCTCATTCTGTGCAGGACATGAAGGCTTTTGTGGACACGGCCCACGGGCTGGGGGTGGGGGTGATGATGGATGTGGTGCTGCACCATGGCGCCCCCTCTGGCAACATGCTGTGGGACTGGGACGGTGGGTGCATGCGCGGCAGCGCGGATCTTTATGGCAGTTTGTTTTTGTCATGGAAAGGGGGCCGGCAGCGGGCCGACAGGCAGCCTGGCGTACAGCCCCTGCTCGTGCGCATCGTGCGATGCCACGCCCGCGGTGTGGCGGGTCCACCCGAAGCGCTGCATTTAGTGTTGGGACCGCGGGTGTGAGTGCCGGGCGGTGCGGCTAGCGGCTGGCGGCTGGCACACCGCTGGCACCTTGCCCTCTTGCGTGTGGAGTTTCAGGGACGCTGCGGTGTGTGTCTGTGTGTGTGCCGGCGCAGGGTGGGAGCAGGGCGCCAACGGCGGCATCTATCACGAGGGCGCCCCCGACTGCCCCTGGGGCCGCCAGTGGGCCTTCTGGAAGGGAGAGGTGCGCCGCTGCCGCCGCCGCTGCTGCTGCTGATGGCGATGATGGCAGCGCTGCTCGGGGGGCTACCGCTCCTGCTGCTGCTGCCGCTGCTGCGGCTGGGATGTTGCCGCTGCTGCTGATGGCGCTGATGGCTGCTGCTATTGCCCCGCGTGGCCCAGGTGCGGCGTG